ACCCCCCCCCCCAACGCATTCGCATGCGATGGCATGAAATGTATGCATGATATAATTTTAAGCATCAAAGCCATAAAAGTATTTTATATAGTAATATTGGTCAAAATTCTGATTATTAAACAAGTTTTCATCACATTGCCTTCTTATCTGTAAACAGGTTGTATAAGTGGAAACCCCTTAAACACGTGTAAGTATGTTTGCGCATGCGCGCAAGGACGGAATCCCCCAGATAAAAAAAGGTCACGTTTTGACAACGCACAGGTGAAAGTGATTTAAAATAAGAATTTTTATACGTACTGCCCAACTGACACTTAGATTTTGTCTCGTTTATGTATCTGCTTGGTTTGAAATGAATTTTTGAAGAATGCATGTAAAAATCAAGCGTTTAAATGAAAAATACGGCTACTGCTTCTGTACGGGAACTGCTCGCATGCCAGTACAGTGTGTCCTGGCTAGTCGTATGTGTGTACGGCCCCGTACAGCTAGACACTTCCCTATCAAATTTTATTAGCTGTCAGCCCTTATTAGTTTTTATTAGAATTCATAAAGATTGTCATATATAGATGATATATTGTAGCTTATAAATTAAGGGATTCAATAATTGTAATCTTAATTTAAGTAGAAGGTCACAAAATTAGAATTTAAATTCTCAAAAGAGTCTAGTTTCTGAACAAATATAGTCAAACGGCTTAATATTCTCTATATCAAATGATGATTTGTAACATAATCCGGAGGGTTCATATAGATTAAAGTGTGAAACTGTGAATTACTATGTACACTGTTAATTTTCATTAGAATAAACAGTAAAGAGGAAAACACATATAGAAATACAATGAGTATATATATCCTTTGGTGGTTTATCTAGATTTTCATTTCTTTATTGTCATTACAGTCAGTCATAATTATGTGTTCTACAATTGTTTCAAATTTATTTGCTTTAATGTAACATTAAATATAACATGAGGAAACATTAATTAATTAATTGAGAACAAACTGAAAATGTATTGGCAGGGCATAAAATAAAACTCACAATATATGTCGGAACCAGTTTCTCTTTATTGTCTGACCATTATCAAACAATAATTAAGTTTTTGCTATAACACCTCTGTTTGTTATTTGTTGCTGAGTATGTCAATCTGTGTCATCTAATAATTGCGTCATTTCATTTTGTTATTGACAAGCAACTGTCCCTGGCAGTTTTCTCTTGTCAAGGATTTAATAAAAGATATAATAAATAAAGCCTGAAAATATTAGTAATTTAGGCATAAAATCTTAATGGTCATGTATGACGATCATTTCTTTAAATAAGTTAGATTTGTCATGGAGAGTGGACAAGTGGAATTGAATTTTTCCACCCCTTTTTAGCATTAAACATTATTTTTTGGTTATAATTTTTAGGTTCTGATGTGTTTGCAGTTGAAGAGATATCTGAAGGCAAGCTTTTTACTTGGTATGATGGAGAACTTAATGTTTCATGCAAATGGCAACAGTAGGCATGCAAGTTACAGAGATAAGGATTGGTCCTCTACTTTTTCTACAAGTTCAAAAAGGAGAACCTTGAGTAAGTTGCAAGTTTCTGTAGGTTGCATATTTTCCATTTCTCGTCCCTTTGAATTTAGATAACTGTAACATAATATATACTTAAAAAAAATTTAATATCAAGAGATCAAGATTCTATTCCCATATCAAATGATAAAAATTTCAATTTGATTCACAACTAAAAATAAACTCTAACTAGTATACTACATTGTTACGTGAAATACAACTGATTAATTTATCTTGGTCATCAAATCAATTAGCGCATAATTAATGTTGTATTTTCTTAAAGCAAAAACGTCAATGTAGAAAAATTAACTCTAAAAATCCTCCATCAAAACTTAAATAACAGGTGTTGGAACACTTCTGGTTTCGCGAGGGTAAAGGTAAGTTATGCTTTGCGGGAGTGTCATGTCCAAAGTCAGTAAGTACAAATTAATTGCCTCGGTGGTCGAGGGGTTAGAGTCGATGACTTCTAATCCGGTTACCTCTCTGGCGTGGGTTCGATCCCCGAGAGATGCTTTGGTAGTTTAGCGCGGAGAAAGGTAGTCTAGTACTGGTGTAACTCTCCAGGAACGATGGTTAGGAAACTACCCGCCTATATGACTGAAATACTGTTAGAAAAAGGCGTAAAATGAAACAAACAAAACAAATTACATGATGCAACGGCTTCATTTTAACAGTTACAAGCTGTGGAGCTGCTTCAACACATAAAAAATATATATACAGGGAAATTCTAAATAATTTGAAATAAACCACTTTTTATTTTCATATACACTGCTTTGCTAGAAATAACTAGTTAGGGATCAAATAAGTTGAGACAACTAAAAAATGCTAAAATTAATGTTTAGGGCCACTTACTTTACAGCAAATAAGCAGAATTGTCAAGTAAAGACAAAAAAGTAAACACACATGAATCAAATGGAAAAAAAATTCAAATCTGGGTGTCTGAAATCGAATCAAAAAGAACTTTTAGTGTATTGTTGCAGCCCTAGTTGCATCGCATTGCATCGCTTCTTGTTTTCATCATGTGTGTTGTTGTTTCTTTTTTGATATCACTTGGAGGACCTGTGCAAGGATGTTTTTCAATGAGAGGACTTACACACGGGTCCTCTGATTGTCAATTTTCTTTGATCTAGCTTCGATAATATGATTCCTGTTCATTCTTTGAAGGTTAGAAGTCCTCATTTTGATAGGTTTAAAAACATTTGAAAAAGTAATACAATTTTTTAATGAATTTTAGATTTTGAAAAGTCAGGAAGTTTGCAAAAGAAAATACATGTATTGCCAAATTTGTTTTTTTTTTTAATTAAATTATTTTTCTTTCTATAAGTGGAATTATAAGTAGCTTTTTATCCTTCATAGCAAGATGTGTAAAAGGCATCATCTAAGTAGCAAGGTGAAGCCGTGAATTGGTCACACATAAGGTCAAATGTTAATATCCACATTTATGTTTTATCTTTTATCATTTCAACTATTGAAATGATTTAAAATTATCAAACTCACCATCATAAAACTGCATAATGTGTCATCAGCTTGACTTTGTTGACATTATGTGACCACATTATCTTAATGTATCAACAGATTGTGTGAAATTATTATCCCACACAATATTTTGCATATACATGTAATGGCTTAATAGCGGATATGGGAATGCTGAAGTATTTTTTCGAATTTAGAGTTGAATATCAATAATATTACTTCAATCTTTTCATTTTCATTTTGTCAGAATATCTTTTGTTAACATACTTGTACTTGTGATTCACCTAGCATGAATACATGGAGACATTTAAAGAGGCTAATGAACATAGATAAATCTTCAGTCCTAGAGACATTCAACAAACGTTTTATGACAATCATGTTCTTGATAGTATGGAGAAATATTCTCCAAAACTATTTTATAATTGTTATGAATACCAGTTATTAGTCCCCTACCGGTTTACTGGAGGGGACTTTAGGTTAACCCTCAGTCGGTCTGCCGTCCACAGAACTGGATCCTGCGATAAAGCAAAAAGTACTGCAAATATTTTTTATGAATTTTGATATATTGATAGATGGCAGTAGGGAGATTATGCACGTCTTTTTCTTTTCTTCCTATGTTGAAAATTCTGGTTGCTATGGCAACAAACATACTGAAAATATGGCAAATTTTACTCCAGTGATATCGCAAAAAGTACTGGAAATATTTTTATGAAACTTGAAATATGGGTAGATGGCAGTCTAAAGATTATGCGCACATTTTTTTCTTTTATTCCTATGTTGAAAATTCTGGTTGCTATGGCAACAAACATACTGAAAACATGGCAAATTTGACTCCAGTGATATCGAAAAAAGTACTGGAAATATTTTTATGAAACTTGAAATATGGGTAGATGGTAGTCTAAAGATAATATGCGAACATTTTTTTCTTTTCTTCCTATGTTGAAAATTCTGGTTGCTATGGCAACACATAATCTGAATTTCAAGATTTCACAATAAGTCCTTTATTTCTTCAATTTCTAGTCATCAACCACATCATATGTGACAAGGTTTACAACTCTGGCACAAAATTCATCAGAATTTCCTTACTTGAACTTAGAATTTTCATAAAAAAACATTGTTTTTTTTTTTAAACTTCTTTATTTCTGAATGTATCTACTTCAAACTTCATATATATGTTCCTTATTAGCACTCAACATTTGAGAGAAAGTTCAATACTGACTAGCAGGACTATTTCCAGAATTGTGCCCCTTTTGAACATAGACTTTTTTTTCGAGAAATTGGTTATTTTTACTCCAACTTCTTCAATCATTATAGGACTTTCTTCAAACTCCACATCATAATAATATGATAAGGTTTATAAATCTAGCATTCATATTTCTATAATTATCTCCTTAAATTTCGAATTTTTCTTATTCATTCTTTTTACTTTCTTTTACTTCAAATTCAAAATAATCATTCATTATCAACACCTTCATTACTAATTGTTCTTTAATGTTACACTCACATCATGTATGACATCTTGCATCTTTATTTCAAGAGTTATCTCCTTTTTAAAAATTTAGCTTTTAAGAATGTTATATTTTGATAACAGGGATGTTTAAAAAAATAACTTGAGAGTGTCCTTCAGTCCATCTGTCTGTCTGTACATAACAAGTTAAATATTGATGCTGCACATCAAAGATGCTGCAAAATAATCCATTGGGGTTAAATCAACAGGGAATTCCCCAGGATTTTTTTTAAGCGCTACATTTTTTTAATAATACGGGGGTGGGTGCGGGAGGGGGTCTTGACCCCCATACCGCGTGTCGAAAATTTTTGCCATTTAAGGTGTCAAGATACTGCTGTGGGCTGTTTTAAAACATATAATGAAAGCTTTTCTCTTGATAGACATTTTCTTAATTTTTATTATTTACTTTTTCCATTTCCAACAATTCAAATAAAAAAACAATTATATAATATATATAAACACAAGTTCACACTATGTGATCAACATTTATATGTATGTGTGTGTCCCATTTAAATGAGTATATTTCAGTTGTTTTTTCTTCATTAACATCATTAAAAGTGGGCCTGTCTTCTAGGTTTGTTGTCATGCCTTGACTGCCTTCTCAAAGTTGAAAGATTCTAATGGGGGTCCTTAAAGGGAGATGAAGATAATTTAGAACTTTAACAGAGAGACAATTCCTGTTTTCAGTCTTAACTCTCTTCAGGCAGCTGAATCCTCGCTCAAAATCTGAAATTAATAAATAAAAGTAATCATTCATGTTAACCTCATGTCTTTTATTTATATTGTTTGTTTGATGTGAATATTTGAAAATTTAAAACTTCCAGCCTGTTTAAACTTAACTAAGTAAAAAAAATTATATTTGAAATGTTGAAAAACTTCTAGCAAAGTGTTACACATCTGCAACTGTCATTGGAAAATCATTAATGTTCAAGAATGAATGAATTTAATAATGTTTACCTGCAGTAGAGGTTGGGAGGAGGAGACCCACAGCAGCAATTCTGTAAAGAGCTGGATGACTGGTAGAAAGGTTGCCAGTAATCCAGGTCATGGTCTGGTCGGCTGACTGATCAGTCCCCTCTAGACTGGCACATACCTGGTGCCAGTGGCTGCGGCACTGCTCCATATCTACACCAAAGTGCCTGGCCAGCTCCTGTATGTCCTGACAAACCAATGCTAAGGGGTAGGACAGTAGATTGCACTTCACAAAGCTGTCCATGAACAGGCTCGTTTAAAGAGGGCCTGCAAAGTTAATATTTTTTTTCATTTTGGGGATTCACTGAACAGAAACAGATTACAAGACATTTTTAATTAAAAAAGAAAATGACCAATTGACTGTCACTAAGTGGGATTGTTGATGTAAAGTTTTTGTTGTTGTTTTCACTCATTTGCAAGTTGATAATGAACAGTCGTAAATGTTTTCAATGTTAAAGTAGCCATCAACCAAATTTATTTCTGAATATCTATGCAGTTTAATCCAAGAGTAAAAAAAGAAAAAAAAAGCAAAATGATCCTGAGACAGTTTCAACGACATTGCTCACAAAAAAAAACTCTTAAAATTGATAGTGAACTAGGCTTCCCTTATTCATGTAAGACGTATTATTTTTTTGAAATCTTAATACTACAGTACTGCTTAGACGTAACGATCATAAGAAAGTGAAAGATGAAATTGAACATTACACTTATATCAAGACAATTAACCCATTCATCCCTAAATATCAAACTGTTATATCGCATGTCAATTAATGCCAGTTATATTATCAAAGCAATAAAAGTTATTACACCTACCTGAAACATGTAAATATCACACATGCCGCGGTTAAATTGCACCCATCTCAATACACGGTAATTGACAACACCTGAAAGTGCACCAACAGTCGTCTGCAGACATCGATGACAGGTGTCTGTGACGTCACACAGTCTAAAGGCAATCAGTGTATCGGGTTGCGTATACGCCTCGGGTAATTATCTACACAGGACATGTATATTGGCTTGTTTATTTGGCTAATTGGGGTTAACTTATAGACACAAAAGAAAGGGATATCGGTCATTTTTTTAAGCGCTATGATAATTTTAAGCGCATCGGGATTTCTTGTTCTGAAATTTTAGCGCATCGGTGCCGATGCGCTAAAAGCGCCTGGGGAATTCCCTGAATCAATTACCAAAATCCACCTAGTCTACTGTGTCAAGAAATACATGTACTCCCGACTGGCCGAGGCATAGTTAATTGTTTGTACACTAGATTTAAAATTTTCAATTCAACACCTTTTTATAATTTTTAAAATGCAAGTTAACAATTATCTGTGTTTGTTGTAAAACATGTTCTATATATCGTCTATAAAATGACTCCTAAATATAAGGAGGCATCACTCAATTGAAAATGCATTAGGGTAATAAACGCATTACGCTGATTTTACCCTAATTGCCTAAACCGCAACTTTTTGGCCCTTTCTGTTGATATTGATAATAGCCGAGGATATTTCACTCATTAATTTCTTGCTTCAGAATATAGACTGGCTCATTGGCACGTTATTTTATTGGTAAAAAATAAAAAAGATAAAAAAAAAGAATGTTATGTTTAAACATGGAAGTATCACTTTTGTTAAACTTTTTTTCATTCATGACACTCGTGGACATGTTTATAATCAGAAAAGGTATTTTTATCTGAAAATCTGAAAACTGTGTAATTTTGTTAGAACAAAAAAATTAAACAAAAACAAGACTAAAAAATTCTCCATTGCTGACTGAACGAACATATATCTACTAGACGCTGCGTGCACGCGGCGTCTAATAACTGTTTCCTGTGTTCACTTTTGAAGAACTTTTTCAACAAATTTACCTAAAATAGAAACAATTAAGTGAATGGCCAATGGCCCTTAAGAATGTTGCTGAGGTTCCAATTGGTAGGGGACTTGCTTGCAATACTATGATAATTGCTTGTTATTATATATAATAATATCATCATTCAGGGTTATTAAAAGTCATGTAAATGCTAAAAATATAGTGGATTTTGATTTTTTTTCAGCATTGACACCATGCATTCATCAGGAATTCGTAAAATGATAAATGGCAGCCACAAAAAACCAAACAGCAAAGTTGAAGTTGAAGATAAAGAGCATTTACAGCATCAGACCAATACTGAGAGATGAAAAAATGTGCTTTGACTACCAAGATCCTTCGGCCCCTTGGAGAAAGGTGTGTATTAACAAATTTGACATGTGATGAAGACATTTGCGAAATACAGATAATTATCTTGAAAAACTGGTGTTGATAAGGGTTGTTTTGTGAAATATTTTTAACATCAATTAAACAAATTTAAGAAAAATTTATAGTCGAACTTCGTTGGCTCAAACTCGAAGATTCTCCAAAAAATAGTTTGGGCAATCAGTTTCTGATAATGGAGGCCATTTTGAAAGAAATATTTATCTTTATAGTAAAGTATATGACTTGTAGAACCAAAACAAAATTTTATATTTTAAAGTTAGGTACAAGTCCAACAGATTGACTGTTTGACAGAAAAAGTGAAAATATCTTTTTTTTTCACAAAATAAGTCAAGCAAACAGGTGTAATTATTATGGCAATTTTGCTGTCAGGACCATAACCACAGCCTGCTGGAGCTTAGACTCAGATGCATAGACCCATTTAAACACATCTAGTTACTTTTGACAATAAATTGCCAGGGATAGATAGTGGCAGCAATTCTGATGCATAAATCGTGAATTGCAACTTCTCATCCACAAGGGCTTACATATAATGGACTTTCATTAACAGAATGTGTATGTGTGTCACGGTGCAACAGGTCCCCATACAGTTTAACGTGCATGTATCAGAAGCAGTGTGTTAGTTTTTCTCTCTCTTTATATCTTGGTGCAAGTCCTCACATTGGTGGTTTATATGATAAATCAAAAATTACATCAGTGAAAAAAATATGCAGAGCATGTAACATATGTAAAAGTCATTTTAGCAAGTAAATTGCAATAATATTGTCTGAAGTATATGCATCTTTATTTTAAGAGTTGCATGAAATTCAAGGGGAAGTGGTTCACAAGGTCAAGGGTGTCTTAGGGTGATCTCTACAATTCTAAAATTAACATTTACAAGAGGCAAGAAATACTACGATAGGTAAATTTTTTTATTTTGTTAAAATACAACCCTCTGTTCCTCTTAACTTCTTTTTGTCCCCTGCCTTTTCGAAGAAAAAAGGGGGATATTGAAATAGGCTCCGTCTGTCTTTCCGTCCGTCTGTCTGTCTGTCTGTCCGTCCGTCACACTTTGTCGTTTATTGAAGGAATCTGAAATAACTTGGCACAAATGTTTGTTATAATAAGATGATGTGTCATGGCGCAACGATATCTAACATTGATCCATTCTCGACCATCTAGCGAGGAGGAGATTTCGCAAGAGTTTATTGGTGGACCATATGTATTGTTCTGCACTTAATGAGCAGATTGTCATAGAAGAGTTCGACATTTTTGTATTGGTACAAAGATTACATAGTCGATAAAAGGTTGTGATATGTTCGTATTTGTATCGCGGGATTCGCTTATTCAACGCGAGTTTTAAATTATTCTCTCGACTATATAACAAAATGTTAAATACAGGATTTTAAAACATAAGACTCTCAGGGCACATATATAAGGTATAGCGTAATATAATAAGATGGTGTAATGATACGCACTTATATCAAGTCAACACAACCACCCTGACAATATACCAGCCTACCTCCAAGTCAAGGTCACATCTTAGAGGTTTCACAAGAGAGCATCAACCAAGAACGTTCATGAGAATGATACAGACCAGTGGTATAGGTTCTTTGTGGTCCCCTGGGTTCTCTAATAGTTATATCTTCTAGATCAAGGATTTTGAAAAATCACCTTGGCTACAAATATGTTCACTAAATGATATAGTAATTGGAATATTGGCTGAAACTTTGTTTTTTTAATTGATAATAAATAGACGTAGTTAGTTGAAATCAGAAATGACAAAATTACTGCACTATCATATGACGTAACACACAAGTGTCCTACCTCCAAGTGTTTCGAATATGGTCAACTACTCTTTAGAGAGTGACATAAGCTTGAACATGATATGATCTCTTATATATAGTATTACAGTGTTTCATTTTATTTCTTATAAATTTCCTAATAAATTTATTGTTGCATTTGCAAGATCTAGCAATTGATTTCCATATGGGCACTTCATATAAATATATAATTCCCCGAGGTCGTACGGAGGATGTACTGTTAACTCCACTGTTGTTTACAAATTCTTGTTGATTCTTTGTTTTTCATATATAGATAATGTGTGCTTATCTTAGCTTGTAACGGTCATGTTCACGACTTTGGTCCCGTTAGCCCTCTGTGCATAATCTCTTACACTATGCGTGAACCATAATTCTCTTTGAAATGTGTAATATGTATGAATTACCTTTCTCGATCTCACTTTACCATTATATGCAACGCTTATAAGGAGTAACATGTAGACGTTATACAAAGTAACAACAGCTAGAGGACTATTTAAATTCAAAGCCCTTTTTCCTTCAATATATCGGCATTAACGTGACGTTTTAAGAAATATGGTAATATTATAATGTAAGAATGTTTAGTCTCTTAGACTGGATGATTCTGCACTTTCTCTAGATATTAGGGCTAATAATGATGGAGTATACTTATTAATAAATTCTTTTGAATCGAGATTTGTTTCTATGCTATAACTTTGAATTATAAATCAAATTCATTTTTCTGATATAGAATTAAACTCTTCACAGAGTTTTAATCATTTTGTAATGATATTGAGATAAGATTCTGACGCCTTCTCACTTACAGAATTGAAATTGTGAAATTCGATATAGTATACATTGATTAGGTTTAGGAACTTTGACATTATATTGTAACACCATATTATAGGAACTTAGATCCTATACATGTTGAGCATACAAAAGAATGTGAAGATGTAAATGTAATAATCGATATGGAGTGATACTTCTTTCACTAAATAGTTTTCTACTACATATAGTGTCCCTTATAATTATAGGGTCGCCTAATTCACAAAAGAGATAAGTATAATGTAGTGAAAACATTTTATATTCAATGTTTTTATGTGTCGAGAATAGGGCATTGAAACATATCTAGCTAACAAAGTTGATATATTTGAAGAGTAATTATGATGTATATTCTTTTTGTTTCATCAGAGACTTATGATGTTTAGGTATTCACCAAATTACTAAGTCTAATTTGAAATTTAATTATAGACTCAAGTAAATTAGCTTTGGTCTCCATAGTACATATTATATACTGGCGATATTTATACTTGTAATACTTATGAAACATATTTATTATTTTATGTATGATCATATAGTCTTTTCTGTCAGAGTGACATGGAGTGATATATGAGGGTGTCTTTAAAAACAACTCAATTATTTTTATGACCTCTACTATCTCAGAGTATAATATCATTTTTTATGAGTTATTAATCAGTTGAAGAGATATTAGTTAAATATGGATAAAATTGTGAGTAAAAAGGATATATCCAGCTATTCACCTGTTTTTTATCGATAGTACGATGTATTCTTAGAGTAATAATCAGCGATTATATATTTTACTGATATTAAATTAGTGCACTAATTTTATATATATCCAGATGTAGTCTTACGCACTATATATCGTGTATACAGGTGAGGTCAACATCTTGAGAATTCAAATGCTCGCTAAACAGAAGTACGAATAATTTGTCTGATCCATGCGCTCCATAATTTGGGTTAACAATTAAAATTCACCAACAACATATTTGGAGGACCTTACAGTCCTCGAGTTATCATGGCCTTATTGGGCATTGAACCCTGTACATATTACACGTAATTCTCTCGTGTTATTTTGATAACACTTTCACTATATATAATTCTCTTAAGAATTTATTATGCATTTTATTTAATGAAACAGCTCTTTTTTAATATTAAAGTGACATTATGCCCATCCAAGGGTATATAGTGAGTGAACAGATAAGATTAAAATAAGTTTACATTTTGCCACAAATCCTTTCAATTTAATGATTTAGTGCGTATAAACAATGAATAACACACAGATCCAAATGAA